TTTTCAGCCAAGCTTTTCTTGTACATCCTTTCTGATGCCCTAATTTCCTGTTTCACCAACTTTATTGATCTTCTAAATTTAAATTTCTTAAATTTATGATGCTTTTCTTTAATTATATTTTCTAATACTCTTTGTGAACCACCCTGGTTTTTACTTGCAGCTACCCTTTTCTTTCTATAAGGTATACATTTACTTTCAATATTTAAAAATTTTCCATATCTTATCAGTTTTTCCAAATAACTCAGCTGCCCAATTCACAACAGATAATACTTGTTGCATTCCTTCAAAATGTGCTTTTTTGAAACTTGTAACTAAAATATCATTATTCTTATCTCCATATACAGCAAAACATTGAAGCTAATAGAGCAATGATCACTTGCACCCAGATGTTCCCCAATTTCCACCCTCCCAATAATTTCTGTAGTTGAAGTTAACAATAAATCTAAAATAGCATTGTTTCTGGTTGGTCCCTAAACTGACTGGTGAAGAAAGCCATTTTGAACAGTTTCTAAAAACCTTTCTTCCTCACAGTTTGACTCTAGCATTTCCCAATCTATATGCCTGAAATTAAAATCACCCATAATTATGACTTCATTAACAGATGAAACCTTAATCTCATTGTAAAGTTTCTCACTAATTTCATCAGTATCATCTGGTGATCTGTAACAAATTCCCACTAAAAGCCTTTTCCCTTTATATCCACTAATAGAAATCCAAATGGATTCAATCTCCTTGCTATTATCTTTGATATCCTCAACTTCCACAGGATATAACTGACATTTTACATATAAAGCCACTCCTCTTTAATACTCTATCCCCTAATAAATAGCCTGTACCACTGTATTTAAAAAAAATTCTGTCATCAAAATCATCTATGTTTAACCATGTTTCAGTTATTCACATTATATCAAAATCCTCCATTCCTACCAATGCTCTAAGATCATCTATTTTATTTCTTTCTCTTCTAGTATTACAATAGTAATAATTAAGCCTCACCTTGTAACTACTTCTACACTCGCTTCCCCAGCTAAACTTTTCTTTGCCCCTTATTCTTTTTACATTCAATTTATTCTGGCCCTCACCACCTGTCTAGTCCAAGTTTAAGACTTCCCTTACAGCCAAGTTAATAGTGTAGCAAAAACAAGCCAGCCCCTATCTTATTTAAATGTAAACCATCCATTAGACTTTTATACTTGAACATTTATTTTTGCAGTGACCCACTGGGAAGTCTGTTATATGTAGGTGATAAAATAATTAGAAGGATCTTACATTTCTTTAATAAATCTCAAAAACAAATAATTATAATTACAGGACAAAATATTTTAAAACTAATTTTGAAAGTTATAAAGGTTAATTTTTTTATTGAATGAACACAAAATTTAAAAAGTTGTTTGCATCTCTCTTCTTAAAAGCCAACAAATTCTGCTATGGAGAAGGAATATTTCTAATAAAAAAAAAAACTGAAAATATTTTGTAACACATCTATCTATCTGTCTTTTCGACAAAACTTAAATGTCATGAGAAATACTGTGGATGAATAATGAAGTAATTATAAATACTCCTGGATAGTGCTTTGAGATGGTAGTGTTAAGTGTCAAGTTGTTTAAGTGAAATATTTAACATCCACTTCTAGCTTTAGTTTCAGAAATTCAAAAGTGAACAATGCTCCTAAAACTAAATTTCTTTTAACCACTAACAAAAAAGTTAAGGTAAAATACAAGATAGTTTATGACTGTTGATTTTATTAACATAGTTTCTGTTAGTGAATTCCAAGTTGATGTCTGCCTTAACATTAGCTCTGTGCAAGTCTAATATAAAAAATAAATTCACTCTTACACCATTTGTACAAAATTTATATTTCCTAACCATACTTTAGGTGAATCATTAGAGATTCATACAGCAAAATTCACATTTTTTACAGGACATGTACAAAACAGTGTTACATTACAATATGTACATAAAAACTTATTTACATACAAATGTCACAAGCTGTTTAACATTGGTTCACATACCAAAATTTCAACAAGCCACTTCCCTTAAAGAAGGAGGCTAAACCTTTGTTGTTGTTATTTTTATACAAAACAACCACTAACCATCTTACTTCATGGTCTTTTCCATCAGCCACTATCTCTCTCAAAATATTTAAATCATTAAATCTTGATAAAGTGCCTCTTAGTTTTTCACCATTACAATTGGATTTACATTCAAAGATTTTTAAAAAGTTCTAAAGTGGAAAAGAGAGACATCAAAAGCAGTTCAATAAAGCAAGAAAACTGTGACTACTACAAGACTACGGTAAACAGTCCCACAATATTTGTTTGGTGCTTTCTGTGAGGTTATCAGGGAATCTAATGTTGAAATTGATAACCAAGTCACCTCGTCTTGATGGTTCTTTAGGATAAGGAAGCCCCTGACCCTGAACTCTTTGGATAGACTGTGGCTTGATGACTCCTTCTAGTCGAAGAGAAATCTTATCTCCTTTTAAAGTTGGGACTTGAATCTTTGTTCCACACATTGCCTGAAATAAAACGTACATTTTTGTTCACAATCATCTAAAATATGATAACAATTTACAGAAACTTAAATAAAAAAACTAAGTGTCCAATAGAACTTTAAATATTATAGTACAGTAACAAGAAAATATACTATTGACACAAATTAGCAAATAAAATATTCATATTTTCAATTATCATATATTCTTAAGTCTTCTTCGATGTCTTTAATTAAGACATTAAGTTTTAACTCCAATCTGTTTTAATGTCAGACATTAACCTAAGTTAATCATTTGTTACAAAACCTAATCCTAAAATAAATTGTACAAGTTAAACATATTAAAATTTGTTTTTTTAAAAACAATGTTGTAGCCGTAAACCCTAATCCAATTCCAAAAGGAAAAGAAATTACATCTGAACATTTAAAAAGAATAAACTAAATGACTAACATTTGGCAAAATTTTCGGTCCAACATGCCCTTAATGAAGCTTTATATGATAATGCAGTAGAAAAACAGTATTATCAAAATATTTAAATTTAGGAACTATAATGCTCTCAGAAACCTTAACTGACCTCAATACTTGAATATTTGTTCTTTTAGTAAATTTTACATTGACATGACCAATTATTTCTTGATTTTGGCTTTACTGTACAGTGTGTACGTCAATAAGAAAGGCTGAAGTTTGACTCTGGTGCAATGGATTAATAAAATACACCTTACAAGATATTTCTTACAAACTGTATAACTATAAGGTACCAACACAGAAATGTATTTTTTATTCCTTCAGTGACAAACAGTAAATTAATATGTGCTTACTTCTCTTAGTGTTATATTTGCTGTGTACTTGAGATCGCTACCATCTCTCTTGAAGACCGAGTGAGGCTTGTCCCTGATGATGAAGACGATGTCAGCAGGGATGGCTCCCGGCATCTGATCACCTTCCTTCTGGAATGTTATCTTTGTACCCGCTTTCCAACCAGGTTTTACATTGATCGTTAGCACCTTTTCTTCACGATGCGTGCTTCTTCCATCCAGATTCATCACTTTACGACTAATTTTCATTTTCTTTGTGCACCCTCGCATGACCTCTTCAAGGGACACGTACAAATCGTACTCAACTGGGGGATCCTGCTTTTGAGTCTTTGCTCTGCCCATGTGGGGACTACTGGCTGAAAAACTCTGTGACCTAAAGGCATTTCCCCTTCCACCTCCAAGGTTCACAAATGGATCATCGGTATCCATGTTGTCTTGCATAAAATACATTCCTTGTCCGCCACTCTGTCCTAAACCACCCATATTAAAGAAGCTTTCAAATGGGTTATCTGTTCCAAAGAATTCAGAAAAGGTAGCTCTAGGGTCACCATGAAAAGTGTAGGAGAACTGTTGCCCACTACCACCATATACACCACCACCTCCTCCTCCACCACCACCTCCTGGTATTCCACCCTTCAAACCTTCTTCACCATACTGGTCATATATCTCCCTCTTCTTCTTATCAGACAGAACCTCATAAGCCTCAGCAACTGCTTTAAACTTCTCTTCTGCCTCCTTAGACTTATTCTTGTCTGGATGATACTTTAAGGCTAGTTTACGGTAAGCCTTTTTAATTTCATCTTCAGAAGCATTTTTGCTGATACCAAGAATGTTGTAGTAATCTTTACCCATTTTCAACTGAAAAGAACAAATCACAAGATGCAATGTTTAAAACAGAGAAAACTAAATACATGTACATGTATTTTTAAATACACAAAATTTACTCATTTACCAAGACATGTCACGATTCTTGTTATAATCATTACTTTAATGTAACACACCAACTGTAATTTTCCTATGAATATAATGAAGTTTTTAATTTCTGGTTAAGATTAAAGTACAAAAATAAAAAGTACACATTATGAAATAACTCAATAACTTGAATAAGGATCTGGTACTACTAGTATTAGTACTACTACTACTAGAATTTCAGTACCTTTTAATTTTAAGTTTTATTCCAAAATAATGAAACAAACGTGCATTTATGACTTAAAATTAAAAGCTAACTAACGTAAAATTTATATTGAAATTGAAGCAAAATTTAGACAGTATCATGAGTATGTGAAGCAGTAAAGTGACAAAAAACAAAATTGTAGAGCTTAAAGTTAAAGACTGGTATTGGTTAATACCTATACTATTAATGTTATATAAAGTTAGGTATGCATTAAACTTAGTAATATATTTAATTTTAACACTGATTAAATAACTTGCCTTGTAAATAGTTTATCACACTCCAAATCTGAAGTTCTGGTCAGTGAGTAACACACAAAGCGTAGGAACACAATATGATTTACTCAAATCAAACTGTCCAAATGCACGAAAAATTGATATTCCACAAATATCGTTAGCACTAGTATATCAAAATCACTTATTTGCGTTACTTTTGCTCAATAAAGTACTTTACTTATTCAATAACTACTTCCACTATGCTCTCGTGAAACAAATTAACATATCCTGACGATACTATATGACTTATGCCTACGCAATTCCGCTTATCTCCCTATAAATACCTTCAAAGAGAGTACTAGAACTTTCGTGAACAATCCGAACTTATCACGTGACCACTGACAGTCAAGAGGAAGACTATAAATTTACTAGATTACAAAAATTTATTCCTACCCGTGTATAAATTAATTCTGTGATAATAATCACAAATATAATTCTGAAATATAATTTATGATAGTACTATTTAAAAATTCATCAAACGAATAACAACGCATAGGTCGATAGTAGCCAGTTCAAGATGAGATACTCTCGTTTTCATGCGTTCTCAACACCAAACGACATTTTTCCAGTAACGTTTTTCATTGGCGTTCATTACAGCTAGCTCTGAATCGCGCATACCACGAGGAGACCCAGAGAAGCATATATCGAACGAAACTGTTACGATAACGGTTATTGAATAGTAACGTCTGGAACCATCTAGAATACTCTAATACGTGCGTCATATCCGTTATGTATATATGTGTGTGTGTGTGCGCCTGTACATATATATAAAACGAAACAGGTAATTTAAACAGCTAAGCCTGACGAAGGGCATTTGCTTTAAATTTAATTAATAAAATATTTTGTTTTATTATAAACGTGTGTTTTAACTTTTTCAATGTATCTTACAAAGGTTGGTTATTGTTTTGTTTTTACAATATAATTATTCAATACAAACTACTGAAATTAAAATCACAATTTGAACAGCAAAATGGGTGATGATCTTATAATTTAAGCTTGTGTAAAGTAAACCATATCTCAGTCGTTTGAAAATGAATTAAACTAACGTTTCTGAAACGCTTTTATTCTGACCCACTATTTATACACTGCCTTTTACTTCCCATAACTATGCAACCTTTCTCAAGAATCACATGATGAGAAAGCTGAATTAAACAATAAGATAGTTTTAGCATGCTAATAGTAATAAATAAACTAGATAAAGATATCTTCAGATGTGAAAACGCCATAGCATTATCTGTCATACAATTAGCTAAAATATGAAATAACTCAGAACTAACGACATAAAAAAGTAAATAATAAAGAATGTTACTATAGTATAAGAATTGAAGAGTTAAAAATGTTATCTCACATTTATGTACATATGTTAACGCATGGTAGGAGTCTTTGTTGTTTCATACTTTATACACAAGCCTTACATTATAATTACAACTATATTTAGATACGTAAGATTATGAGCTACAGGCTTATATATTTCCTTTCTGGAATTATCAAATCCATAATACATCTATATTTGTGACAGGGCTATGAATATATAATTTTAAGAATATCAACCCTAAAAATACTACAAATTACCCATATACACGTATTTAAACTAATATTTAGTGTTTGATCTTTTCGTAGATGAATCGTGTAAGACAAGTTTTTGCTTTTTTTATTATGCAGTGCTTACGGGAGTAAAGTAGTGTTGCGTCAGCGAGGTCACGTGACTAGTGTCACGCCACGTTTCTAGAACTATCCTGTTCCTTGGGAGTGCTCTAGCATTTGCTAGATTGGGGGTGGTTTGGTACATATAAGATGTTCACGGCGTGACGTGACAATGTGTGTGTAGGTAGTGAGTAACTGAACTGCAGTCAGAAAGTATTGTTGAAATTAACGTTCATTGTTATAGCGTTTGTTATAGAGCGACTGTTGAAAATAAGTGTATCGGTAAAGTTACATTCAGAAAGAATAAACCAGTTTTATTAAGAAAGGACTTGTGTCGCTAAAGTTTCGTCGGAACGAAGTTACGGAAAATCAACTAACAAACGGAGACGTAACAGTACACATTATTATAAATAAACTAGATAAAAGAATTGGGAATTAAAAGGTTGCAAATGGGGATCGTAAAAAGTAAGGAAACAAGGCTGGAGATACTGTAAACATTATTTACTCAAACTACAAACCCCTATTTGGCTCCATGCTGTTACCTAAAATTACATTTGTTGGAGTCAAAATAGGGATTTGTTGTTTGGGTAAATAATGTCTACAATATCTCTAGCCTTGTTTCCTTACTTTTTACGATCTCTATTTGCAGCTTTTTAAATTCCCAATATTTTTATTTATTTTGTTTTCTCGCTTTCTTATGCTCAACTATGGGCAAAGAATTACTTCATATGAGCCCCCCAGTGGCACAGCGGTATGTCTGCGGACTTACAACGCTAGAAACCGGGTTTCGATACCCGTGGTGGGCAGAGCACAGATAGCCCTTGTGTAGCTTTGTGCATAATTAAAAACAAAACAAAACAAATACTTCATATGGTAGCTAACTTCATACATTGTAATGATAATAAACATAGTTAGTAGCTGGCTGATACGGTTCATAATAATTTATTATAGTTATTGACTGTTTAAGCGCATTAGTTCGAGATGTAAAATATTAAGCTGCAGCTGAGATTTGTTTGAGAATATAGTGAGCATTTATAGTTTCTATGTAACTAAATTCTCTATATATGATGCATAGCAATGGGCAAATATATGCCTAGACTAAGACACAACTCCACTAAGCGCATATAAACTTTTACCAGTAGAAAAAAAATCAAGTAAAGCATATACGTCTAAAGCATCGCTTTCAATAAACCTTCATGTCTTTTAAAGTAATTATGTGTGTAATAAAATTTAATATCATGTGTATTAATTTTTTTTACTCTTTCAGTTCATATGTAATATAGTGTACAAAGCATTGAGTATCTACATGTTACAGTCATCTAATGTTCATCTGTTATTGGGTAGTAATTCCTGTTTCACCCTGTTTTAAGCTTTTTAAAAGAACACCAGATATTTGTAAGAAAGTTTGCTTCCAGGGGTAATGATAACATCGTTTACACTAGAATTATTATTGTTACGTCTCCGTTCGTTCGTTAATTTTCCGTAAAAATTCTTTCCGAAGAAACTTTACCGATAGAAGTCCTTTCTTAAATAAAACTGGTTTATTCTTTCTGAATATAACTTTGCGATACACTTAATTTCAACAGTCGCGCTATAACAAACGCTATAATTCTCAACGAACGTCTCACGTGCTCAGCACGACTCAACAATACTCAGCTCAATTACACACATTCTGTCCCGTCACGTTGTGACCGTCTTACATATACAAGACTAACACATATCTAGTAAACGCTAGAGCATTCATGAAAGAACAGGATATTTCTAGAAGGACGTGGCGTGATAGTAGTCACGTGACCTCGCTGAGGCAACATTATGTTTTCTAGCTTATGTAGAATATAGAAGAAACAAATCGAATTTTCAATACCCTACAACTTTCAAAGTACGTTATTTAGTATTCTGCACAAGGTCTGGGTGCAATATACCATGGCGTTTTTGTTGTAGACTGGCAAAAGAATAAGAAGAAAAAGAAGAATTACAAACGGGCCGTTTTGCGAGGATTTATTTACTTTATAAGTCTAAAATGCGTGTTTTTCTGTGCATTTTTATATATGTTCAGCTTTAGCAGTCAATAGTAAAGGTTTTAAAATGTTGTTTGAACTGAATCTTCACTGTTTAAGATGCTTTTTGGTCGAATGTTCTATTAGCGTTTTGTGCAATTCCTTTCGATCTCTATTATGAACCACTACCAGTGTCGTAGTTCATGATGAAACGACCATGAACTCCAGAAAATCTTTCAAAGTTGTTTTATTTACTCAACTTTTTGGTTTTACGCTTTAATCAAGAGCATACATTTTCTGTAATGAGCTCTTATCACTCAAATTAAGGCCGTTGTATCTTAACAATTAACCCTGCAACAGGAGTATATCTTACATATAACCATTCCTATTATTACAAAGCCTGTGACACATATTTAAACAATATAATATAAATGTTATATATATATTTAAAGAATTTTTACACACATACGCTTGGGTATCTTAGGGGGGTAGTTGTATTATTAGTGAGAAGTTTCTGGTTCAAATCCTGCCTCTAGCATTCTATTTTCACATACGATAACATCAGTTAAATATATGATATTAATTATTACGATATAATAACATTACTATTTTATGGTTTCATTACGAAATTTAATAAATAATTGCAAGTCTGTGATAAGCGCCTATGATTTGATCTTTTTGCCTATTACTACAATATTATTATCACACTCACAGTCGTAAGGTTTATAAGTAAACATTAAAGCAGTCCTCTTTTACCCTTGGTTAGGTTGGTGGTTAGAGCACTGACCTTATTAGCCAAAAACCAAGGGTCAAGTTCTGTTATCGCAGATTTTTTCATTTATGAGTTTTTCACTTAAGTATTAATTATTGTGATATGATAATATTACTAATTCGTGGTTTCCTTATAAAATTAAATCATATATAGGAAAACGAGAAAATTAAGCAATCTGAGTAAGTAAGGTTTAAAATATTTCTCAAAAATTTAGTAAAATTAAAGGTCGAAACATCAATTATATTTGTTCATTATTGGTTTATATTCTTCTATAAGAAGCGATTCTTAAATTTTCTTAATCTTCTTTCTGCATGTTACAACATATTATCGTTATTTCGCAGCTCGCACCTCACCTCTGGAGAAATTAATGCGCATGAACAGGTAAAACACCATTACGTGCACGTGTTCACTAGCGCTTATATACAGGAGCTCAATTGGGGTCTTCTCCAAAGATCAATCTCAGTGCACAGGATACTGCTACGACATCAGGTCACGTGACTAGTATCACGCCACGTCGTTCTCGAACATTCACATCCTTTCCTTAAATCTCGTGATCGTTCTAGATATAGTGTAGTCTTGTATATATAAGACCGTCCATGAAGCGACGGGGAGAATGAGTAATTGAATGTATGCGGACAGAATATTGTTGGCCACGTGAGACGTTCGTTGCGAGTTATAGCGTTTGTTATAGACCGACTGTTGAAATTAAGTGTATCGTAAAGTTGTACTCGGAAAGAATAAACCAGTTTTATTTAGAAAGGACTTGTGTCGGTAAAGTTTCGTCGGAACGAATTTAACGGAAAATTAACTAACGAAAGGAGACGTAACAATACATTGGCAACTGATGGTCATCATGCTGCAGTATGGCCTGGAGACTCTGAGACCAAATGTAGTAGTTTATATAAGACTTCCAGGCACTTACCGACAAAAGTAGTCCAACCTCGGCTTTGGTCAACACCACTTGAGACCACCAAAATAAATTGGAGGTGTCACTTGTGTAGGACTTTTTTACAGCCTGAGATGTTTTTTCTTCTTGTTGTTTTTTGGCATGCGAGACAGCAGGATATGACGAAGTGCCACTGAGTTCGAGGATAAACTAGTTACCAACGCAGCTCTAAACTGCTGTAACGGTATAAAACACAAGCAACCGCTACAACCAGGGTTAAAAACACAAAAA